TTATTAAAATATAAAGGTAACGATATTGACAAGTACTGAAAATGTAGACTCAGCAGGTCTGCATTGATATGGATTTTATAAGTTTATATTATATTGAGGTGTTTTGCTATAACAGTGAAACCCCGATTTCAGAGCAATAAACTCGATACTATAACTGGATAATAACAATAAGCTACTGCAACCAGCAAGTCGTCTAAGATTTCATGTCATGCGTTCAAGTGTTCTGGGAAAAAAATACTTGTTTGCAATAAAAAATTATAATAGTTGAGCACCTAACACATACATAAATATAATTATATGCAATAGTTAACTGTATTTATATTGACTAATAAATAATCGTTTAATATTTACGATAAATATTTACTTTTGGTTGTAAACAAAATCGGCGTTTACAGTGCTTCGTTTGTTTGTATAGTAAACAAAATACACGAGTCCTAGTCACTAACTATAAAAATATCAACATGTTGCTATAGAGTATAACAGTATTGTTCAACTAACGGTTGTTTGTATCATCTAAAACTAATCGTGTTAGATATAGGATTATTTATATAATATATAAATGATTAGGGTGAAGAGACGAGTTGAAATTCGGGGTCCGTCCGTCTGTGCAAACTGTAACTTAAGTAAAAATAAGACGGTTGGTATTGCAGATGGGCATAATCGAAAAACTGCCACGCCCACAAAACGCAATTAATCAAAAACAAATAAATTGCCAAAACTAAGTTCCAAAAAAGATATAAGACCGTTATTTGGTATACAGGATCACATAAGCGAAAGGCATCTATAAATTAAAAATTTTGTAAAAAGTGGGCCTAGTCCCGCCCCTTAAAAGGTTTAATGTGCATATGTTCTAAACCGCTAACAAAATTCACAGAGAACAAATGAATTTTTAGCACCTCTATCGACAGTGGGAAAATGGGTGAAATTGGGTGACAACTCCTTCCACTCCCCATATAACGGTACTATTATAAACTATTAAAAGCGCGATAAATCAATCAAGCCAGAGACATTAAATTTTTTTTCTGGGGTGGTAGACGACTTTATAGGAACCGTGTTCAAAATTAGTTGAAAACCCATATCTTGGGATCTGCTTAACCGATTTCAACCAAATTCGATGCATAAAATTCTTCTCATATTTCTGCGAAAACCACCATTTTGAATTACATCTGATTCTTTTACTTTCCACTATGCAAATCAAGCAATTATTATGATTATATCGGGGTTAAACTTTGCTGAACAATGCGTTTAAAGCATGCCACCTTGTGTCCAAAAATTGTATAAATTGAACCAAAACTGTTCAAGCCCCTAGGTACTGAATATGTGGACCCCAGTGCCTATATATTAACACTATTAAAGGAGCGCTAATTAAAGTAGGCCAGAGAATATGTACTTAGTATATGATATTTACATCCAATTTTATTGAGATAACTTACACTCGACCAATATTTTCGGCATAAAGTCAACTAATAATAACGAAAATTATTATAAATATGTAAGTACCTACATACATGTACTCTGTGATTCCAAATTAATTTCATTCCCTTCAAAGGAATCCCCGTTCGAAAAAACACTTTTGCCACTTTTTCAGTCCTAGAAATAGTCGGCATACTTTTTTTCCTTTATAGCCTTCAAGACCAGCTTGTATTCCCCAACCCTGTCAAAACGGCATCCCCGCATTGGCCTTTTGAATTTGTTGAATAGCCAGAAGTCGTAAGGAGACAAAACTGGTCGTGGCAAACGATTTGAATAGAGTTTTTTTGTCAAAAAAGTCGCGAAGAACAACTACAGTTTGACACGGAGCATTACCGTGATGACGGAACCAAGAGTTGTTCGCACATAATTCCGGCCGTTTGAAACGAATAGTTTGACGCAAACGACTCATAATGCACAAAGAATATTCTTTGTTGACAGTTTGGGCGCGCGGAAGGAATTCATAGTGCTCCGCAACATGATTTACCTCGGGCCTCAAAAAGTAAGGTGAGATGATTACTTTTTGATCACAATCGTATATAATATAAGGCCCGTGGTAATTTGTACATCGCATTGACCCATTGTTCGAAAATAATTAATTTAAATATAAAGAGAATACTGTCGATGTGTAAAAGAACAGTTAGACGTGGGTACCGAGGTCTCCAGGTTCAGTATTTGGCAACATAACAGTTATAGTCTGATTTTGTCGACTTTTAGATAAGTGATGTCACACCTGTAGGGCACTAATTTTAAATGTTTTATCCCGATACCTTCATTGGTGCTTGATTTGTGTATGATTGATTAGTTGTACTTGTAGTAAATATGTATGTACATACAAATGCAAGTAGAAATTGTTTGGCAAGTCTGTAGAATAAGTAGACCGCATAAATTTGCACCACTTCTTAATTTTGAATGTCGTTACAATCAGCAAATAATAAAATAAAGGGTGTTTTTTTTAAAACGCATATAATTTAATGTTGTGGCCAAGAGTTCAACTTTATTATAAAGATAAGGGTTTGCAATTATGTTTTAAACATTATTTCAGGCTAGTACCCGACGTGGCTGGCTCTAATAAATTCCAGCTGAGAGGCTCAATTTTCGACCACTTTTTGCAGCAGTTGGAGTTGTTGGGCTTTTCAAACGGCTTCACATAATCCCACAAAAAATAGCCCAGTAGCATTAAATCACACGATTTGGAGGCCACGCCCACGACGCGAGATAATGGGCTCACCAAAGGTTCATTTGTTAAGTTAGTTGTTTCGTTCACTTTATGAAATGTAGCACGATCTTGTTGGAACCGAAAGTCGTCCTCCAATTTGAGCGC